TCGCTAAGTCGCACGACCAGCATCTCGAACATTTTCTCCATTTTGTCCGACAGTTTGTTTATCATGTGCTCGAGGACGTCTGTTTTTTCGTGCTGAAACGGGGCCTTTTGACCTCTTTTTCTGAGTCATTTTGCCCTTTGGTCTTCGTCAGCGGGATTTTTCGCTTGGCGCCTGGTTGCTGTGTTTCCACTGCTACCATTTCTACCTCCTCATTCTCTCTCTCCCCAATGGTTTTGGTCGCTGGCTGGGAGAAAGCCGCGATGGCGGTCGACGGAGGCGACGTCTGTATCTGCATTTTCATGAGTATTTCATTAAGTGTTTGCTGTAGTTCATCAATTTTTTAGCTGATTCACTGTTTTGCTTTTTTGCTTTTTCTAGCTCCTGTCTGAGTAGCTTGTTTTCCGTTCTGTATTCCTCTACACGTTTTTATATGTCTCTGTAATTATCCCTAGCGTTACTATTATTGCCGGACCTTGCCGAATCGCGATTAGCCACTACGTCTGACCAGCCCACCTTGTCTGGCGTCTTCTGTTCTCCTTGCTGCTTCGTTGTCGCTTCAGGCGTCCTTCCCCTCGAGGTGGATCTCCGCCCGCTCCTGGTCCTGGGTCTGCTTCTGGACCTTGACCCCAAGTGACGTAGTCCCCAGGCTTCCAGCCTGGACTTGGATCTGGATCTGGACCTTGATGTGGGTTGACGGGCTGGTTGTGTGTTGCTGCTTCCCCAGGTGTCCTGGTTTTGTGAGTCGGCTTCCCGCTGGAGTTCTTCCTCGTTTCCCCTCACAGCCCACCTTCGTTGCTTTACAAAGTATGGCGTCTTAAAAATTTAGCCCTGCAAGTCCGGTCTGCCGTGGGATGTGCGTCTCCGCAGAGCTTGCACTTGGGAGTGCATTCATGGTCTCTGGTAGGATTTTTGGCACCACACGCCGGGCACAACTTGTCTGTCGGTCTTGGGCACACATCGGGCCTGTGCCCGAGCTTCCCGCACTCTTTACAAAAGTCTATTTGCTTCCGGTAGAGGGAAACTTTCATGATGCTGTTGAAGTAAGCCCACATGGGGACCCTGTTGCCTTCGTACTGTAGTATCACGTGGTCATGCTCCCCAGTCTCTTTGCGTACGCCAATGAAGGTTCCTCGCGTTCACCAGGGCATGCATGAGCTGACTATGTGTGTACTTCAGGGGAATGTTGCGGATTATCCCCTTGGCCATGTGTTCCGGTGCCGAGACGTACGCGTTGGTCTCGTACTTCCTCCCGTTTATTTTTAAATCCTTGATTTTGACCAATTTCGTTGCCGTCTTCTCATCCGGTGTGCTGATCACCAGGATATTTTGTGTAGGGTTGGGGCAGATCGTGAAGATTTCGTCGTTGCTCACCCCTGCTTCTTGCCGTATCGCTTCGTCAAGGCTAGCTCTGTACGTGTGTCTAATGCTCAGCCCGTCTCTTGGTCTGACGATTATCTTGATGTCATCTGCAGGTAGCCTTGGCATCTTGCTTGCTTGTCAAATCTTGCTCACAATGCTCTTTCCACCTCTGCGCGTCGGACTTCTCGAGCGGGTGCCTTTCTGTGGTGTCTCTTCGCCAGAGCTCACACGGCCCTTCCTTATAGGCGACTTCGATCCATCCCTCCGCGTCGCTGTCAGCGTCTCATCTCGTTGGATCCCTATCATCCTCTCTGGTATCATTACTTAGAGTTTCCCCCACTTCTGCATCATCTACATACATTTCGGAGGTGCGTCCGATCCCTTGGCTTACAACTTGGCACCGTTGATCACCCTTCCCGAGGCCGGCGTCGGCCTTGTCGGTGTAGGCTTAGCTGGGCACACTTGTAACTCGGGTGGTTTTTCACATCGAAAAAGCTTCAAAAAAGAGTCTCACCTAGGTTTTTGGTGTCCAAGCATTCGGATGGACCCGCTCTATTCGGTGGTGGTCGATTGCCAGGTATTTGACTTGATAAAACTGCGGAACACATTCATAAAAGGCAGAGCCGATGTGAAGCGCGTCCGCATCGTTGCGTTGCCCGGCAGCGTCCTGCTCACCACTCTGCGATGCCAGCCACGCTGGCTCGAATTCAAAAGTTTTGTTTCTGACTAGAAACGGGCCCAGAGCTGCTCCACGCATTTGGCATGTGTGTCGCGTGTGCGCGTTTTGCTCGCTCTTGGTGTGCGTGTGTGGTCATGATGGCCGACGGGAGGTCTAGCACGCTTTTTCGTGCCACTTAACGACCGCTTGGTTGAGCGTAATCCACGCATTAGGTGCCGCGTTGCGGAGCGCTTTCTCATAGCTATTGACCACCTGGCAGCCAACTTTACGCTTCGGGCATCCCAATATTCAGCTGTGGAGATGGTGAATATTTCGTGGGCGACGGTGACGGCTACATGCACGCAGAACTGTTTTCGCGAAGCCAACTTCGTCGACGTCGGGCCCGATGCCGAGCCTGAAGCTTCCGAACAGGACCCCTGCGATGGCAATTTGTGGCAGCACGTCCTCGACTCCGACCTGGGAGAGCAGGTGGGACATCTGTTGGAATGGTTTAATTATGGCCGATGATGATGCCGACACTGCAGAACCGTGCACGGATTAGGGCATTGTGAAGTACGTGGTGAGAGCAATTTGGAGAAATCGGATTGTGAGAACGACGAAACTTTGGAGCCAGTGCCTCATGCAGCTTATGCCACGGGCCTCGGTGAACGACCATCCTGCGGTTTTAAATGGACTCGAGACCGCCCTTATCGCTTCTGCTCTTCGAAACACGTGCATCACGGACTTTTTTGGGCAAAAAAAATGTTTGTGTTCTCACTCGCAACTTTTTTAAAAGCTGTTTCACTTAGAACTTCGGGATACAGCGAACGGATGCCGCGTCACGCTCAGGTTCGTTATAAGCGGGCTCGACTGTATATATATATATATATATATATATATATATATATATATATATATATATATATATATATATATGGCACAACGGGAGCGTTGTCAACAAGGATAAATATATTTATTTATAACTCATCCCCTGATTTATATATAACTCATCCCCTGATGAAGGGAGGTCCCCTCCCGAAACTGTTGGGAAATAAATAAATATATTTATCCTTGTTGACAACGCTCCCGTTGTGCCATATCCCATACCTTCACGAAGACTAACTGGCCCATTGAATTATTACTCCCACTATATATATATATATATATATATATATATATATTATATATATATAATATTGCCTTGCCTAGTAAGAACTATCAAGAAATTTGAATGGCACCTGTAATGATGTATACTTTCGCAGCCTCTTCAATAAAGATACGAGGAGCGCGTCACTATGTTTGTAGATTACACTTTTATGTAGCGTTTGAAGCTTAACTACTTTCCGGCACACTACCGTGTACGAGATAAAATGAAAAATATTCAAGTTATGTTTCTTTAATACGCTTTCAGAATATAAAAACTGTGAACGTCTATGAACGTCTCACACATCCACTCGTCTGACTGGTGTGGGCTGCTCCCTTCCTAATGCGATGGGGGAAAGCTGCAAGTCCACCAGGAACTGCTGTGTAAGGGTGCGGCAAGTCCGGGCATCCCCACTCTGGGCCATCTCCGAGATAGACGGCCACTTCCCGGGCCCGGTTTTGAGTATGAGCTGACATCATCTGAACCAGGTTGTCATGCTGCTCCTGCGCTATAGTGACGCTCGTTTCCCACATCGTCGCAGCTCGGCATCCCAATATACAGTGACAGCTCATTCTCCCGAATTTTTTTTCCCAGCTCGGGTCGTGTGCCACGAGCCTTTCTCCAACCAATCTCTTGCATTACGTGACAAGTGCACGTTCCCTCAGGTGACCCTTTTTCTCCTCGCGCCACCGTCCTCACGCTTCCATGTTTAGCACGATCCTCGTGCCTCTCCTTTGTTCATGACAATGACAGTTTCATACGCGTGTCAATATGAAGTCTGCCCTCGGCGACTGGGTGCTCCTCTTTTGGTTGCTTTGTAGCTGCGTAGGCCTCTCCGAGAAACTCTTATTCCACTAAGTCGAACCTTACCAAGTTGTGGGTCAAGTTAGGGACAGGAACGATGACATTGCATCGTTGCACTTTGATTCGTCATCAAGTTCACCACTTGTTGACACTGTGCATGTTTCGCAGATGAAACCGTACTTCGCTTGCCCTTCTTTACTGAACCTGCGCTGAGACGGTGCTGCAACGCCCTGTTACAAAGAAACTAAGTGAACGTCGACAAAGATCCAATGAAGCCGACGCGCACACGAGTGTGTTGGTCAGCCACCTTGACTCTTGCCTGTGTCTTTTTTTGTAAAATATACGCAACCAACCTTACAACAATATTGACATTTTAGTCATTCTCAGGCATTAATCTTTCACTCTGACGTAAAGTGTCATTTGCCTCTGGTGTCCCCTTAACCCGTTCATTGTTGGTCATTCTGGCCGTGAAGGCCCACCAGTATTTGTTCGTTTCTGACAATATCAGGGAAGATAGACATGCAGAGAAATCACATATTTTGTAGTCAAAATGACAGACAGGGTGGAAAGTGTATACAACTTTGTTGCCGTTGATAGCAGCAAGTGAGGCCGCGGTGAGCAGGCGAAAGCAGGGATCGGGTGACATTTCAGTCTGTCAAAGAGGTAGGAGCAGGGGCCCCTAAACTTTGCACGCCGAAGCAAACCTGTTAACAGAACAAAAAAAATAATAATAAAAATATTTTTAAAATCTGCTAACCTGTGGCAGCTGCAGACAACACTGTTATCAGATGGCAGAATGCATCGCACACGCCCACATGTTCACTTCACCCGCTGCTTCGTTTGTGTAGGACCATCTATTGTATGTTTTTGCATAGTGTGGTTAAACCTTTATGTTTTTGGTGGGCATACATTACTATTCTGCTCCCTAGCTACCTCAGTGACTGCGGCACATTGTAAATGAAAAAAAAAAGGGGGGGGGGGGGAGTGCCTTGCCTGCTGCTACTTATAGGACAGTGCCCATGTCCCTCTCTCCAGGGACACATTTGCCGAGCTACTGAGTGGCGGGGGAGTGTCGGAAAAAGGCAGCATTACCCTGGAGGCCATCGAATATGAATTCCCTCACGTTCTCTCCAAGGTGTGATTCCACTGTCACTTCACAGGTGGGTGCTGCTGCTTCTGTGCTGATGCTGAACAAAATATCGTGAATCCAATGCAGAATTCGACATCTTGACTGCACAGAAAAGACGAGGACAGCAGGACGGTCGATGTGAACTAGTTTACCTCTCGTGTCGTCATACCTCTCTCTGTCCTCGTCTTCTTTGTGTGGTCAAGATGTCCAACAGTAAGCACGGATTAGGTCTGACTTTAGTTCTCCTAATTCAGAGTTTCCAAACTCTGGTGAGCTAACAGGCAAATAATTATATTTAAAGAAGCCCCTAAAAAGCAACTTGACTTTCTTCAAAGAGCTGAAAAGAAACAGTCAATTAATTTTCTCTCTCAAATATATTTTTGATTGTACTAGTGACCCAAGTACAAAACAGAGTTCAAAAAATCGCTTCAAGTTTTTGTACTGCGAAAATATGCTCAACTAGGAACGAAAGCACACGTTTATTTGCTAACATTATCTCCAGGTTTGTCTCCATTTGGTGGTTGTTGATTCCTTAAACTTATGTTTTATTTCAACACTGAACTACTAACCACAAACAAACATGTTACTAGTGCACTAAAAACACACTATTAGTGAACTTGATGACACTAAAATAAGTATATTTGCTAGAAACTGCAAATAAGCCCCCCCCTACCCCCCTTTTTCCCCCCAAAAAAACTGGACCAACTATCATAAAATTCTATTGCAGCTAGGCAAAAAAGCCTAAATCCACTTAAGGGCAACTGGCAACTCTGGTCTGGTTGCACCGAGGTATTGAGCTTCAAAAATTGCTCCTGAACCCATTTATCTGCACATGACCGAGCCTTGTGTTTTACTGCCTATCTTTGAGGCCATATTGTGAGCTTCAGCGGCTTTTTTGCCTGCCGCCTGATGTACCCTGTAAAAAAAAGTGATAAAGCTCTCAAAAGTTCATGGAAAGCAGCTATTACATCTCAATCATGTTAGAATGAGGTTACGATGGTTTACACATTTAATGAAAGTAAATAATTATTGTTAATTATCTTTAGTTAAGTCATGCCTCAAACAAAATTTCGTGAAGTGGACTCCACCACTGAATAATGCAGTGCTAATTCAAACACGGACTAAGAAATATCACACTGATTGTATTACGCTGACTAACAACCATGTTTTATTGCGTTTGCACCACGACCTACTGTACTCCTGACCTGCCTAGCTGGCGGCATTCTACGGAGTTGCCTGCGCCGGCTCTCGTTTCGAACTTCGCCACTAAGGGGACACTCGAGTTACCCCAGCTGAGGGCCAGTGGATGCATGGCAATGCATGGGCTGTCGCTGGTTTCACAAGAGTTTTATCGCACATTGTGTTTAAATGTGGCGCGTATCTTGAATTGTTTTATTTAATGTGACTGAGAATCTTGTTTTGCATTTTAGTTGACATTGCAGTGCATTATTTTTCAAATAGAATTTGCAAATAAGATAAAAACACATGTACTATCAGCTTGCACAACTATAAAGATAACAGAGACAAGTTGTAGAAAGTACTGACCGCCAAATGTTATTAAACTTATAGTACCAGGTATATGTGTAGACTTGTTATCGTTGGCATACACTAAGCCAGCCTGCAATTACTGTCTGGCAAGAATGGGCAAGGACTGACAGTGGCTGCAGATTCATCAATCAGGCTTAGATAACAACTTAATACAAATACAGTGTTTTGCAGATAAATACCTTTGTACCAAAGGACAACTGTAGATCACAGGTGAGCAGTGAAAGACACTCTGCAACCGTTTTGAAATGAAACAGCACTTACAATCACTTTTTCAACTCCTATTAGTAGCACATCATGTGGCATAAACAAGTAAAAAAAGATCCTTTGTCTGTTGAAAAGGCCTAATTATTTGCATTTTTATGTGACCGAACCCTCAGCCTGCACAGTGTTTTCAGTAAGAATTAGGTCTTCATTTTTAAGAAAGCTAGCTTATTTTCAGGAACAGAATTGAAGATATATTGCTAGTCGCAGACGCTTTCCTCTGGAATCTAACATAAAAGCCCGCATGTAGTCTGGGTATAATTTGTAGATAGCAAAAGCGAGGAAAGAAGTTTTCACCCGAGTATAGCCGAGTAACGGAAAAATGCATTTATTGACACACTTCATTTCATCGTCGTCACTGGGCGCACTGTCTTCCGAAGCTCCCTTGTTGGAAATGTTCTCCCACAGCACATCATCCTCACTGCCATTAAGAGCGTTCGACAATGGGGCAATTGACATGGAGCATTTTTAATGCATGTCAAACGAGCGCTTCAGGAAATGCAGGCCCAATTCTCGAACTATACACGAGCTAAGCATTGCTGGCGAGGCCCGTTTCAGCCAATCTAGCAGGGGTCACTTCTGCTTCTCCCAACCTCACCCACTCACATGCAGGCGCTTTACACGGTCTAAATGTCTGATTAAGGCGCACATCAAGTGGCTCTGTGCGGAGTCATGCAGCAGTCGCTTTATGGAGGTCTTGTCAGGTGACACCAGAACCCCTCAAGCACAAGCATCGAAGGGAGCCCCAGCAGTGCTCTGGGCCTTCGACATTACATGAACTTTATCCGCTCAAGCAACTAGCGATTCGTCCAGCTACCCCCTTGTTTTGGCAGCAAATGCCATATTTTGGGAACTTCCCCTCCCTTCATCACCGTTTTTCGTTTTAACACTATGTAGTGTGGTAGCTTGGGACTGTCTCCAGTGCAGGAACACATTACGGTCACCAGTGTTCTTTTGTTCTCAGTGAATCGCACCGTAACTTGCCTGGAGCAATTCTGATGCACCGTCAAGCTTTTTGCAGTGCAATTGCATACTTTTGAAACTTCACGAAGTCCTCTTCGTAGCTCTTTGGTAGCTTTTGCGAGATCGGCATACGTCGACATAGGGAGAACACAGCACGGTGCATGAAGAGGGACACTCAATGCTTGCTCGCTTTAAATCCTCCGGCTGAATGCCTTTGTCCCGGGTGATCTCCCTTGCCTTCACTTGTAGCAGCTAGATAAACAGTGAGATATGCTGCTTGCTGTTCCCGCATAAGGTCTCTGCGAGTTCTCGTACCACGTCAGGAAACGCGCCCATTTTTTTTGGTCCGCGGGAAACATTTTCACTGGTCACTGCACGCGAGGAGGTCAACCTTCTTCCGCTAATCACGAATACTCCACTCGTTGACTTCAAACTGCTGCTCCGCGGCACAGTTGCCAATGGTTTTGGCAGCAGTGATAACTATCCTTGTAAAATCAACCAACTACTGCCTGCGTGGTGCTGACATGGCGTGAAATCACAGGAGCAAAATCTTGGCCGTTGTTATGGACGCCAAGTTGAAGCAAAGGTCGCTGACCACTGTTGCACTTAGCGCAGAAACGTGCAAATACCTGATGATGGTAATAGCACCGCGCTATTCTGAAACTAAAACTGAATTTCATCCAATAATTCTTGGGACCCTCATTAAGTACGGGGCCGAAATTTCGTACCCCAAAATCTTGAAAAAAAAAAAAAAAACTCCTGGCTATACTTGGGTTTCTGCGTTAATAACCAAAAGGCAGCATACAATTTATGTGTCTGCACAAACAAAAATTACATCTGTTGAAATTTTTTGACAATTAACTGATTGCATTCTTGAGCGTTTGACAGTTTCGTAACTGGTTCTTAAGAGCCCCTAAACCGTACCCAGAGGTTACAATTTAATTGTGGTGTTGCAGGTGCAAGGGCCTACAACGATTTCATTCATGGCTGTGCAAATTTTTAGAAACGGTGACTTAATGTCGGAGTTACACGACTTTGATGATACAAAAAAAACTTAAGAGGTCATCGCTCGTTTCGTTCTTCAGTTGCTTTGAAATGCTCCATTAATTGGCTCGTTTCTTTTCCTGGCCAAATGTGCCTCCTCGTTATATGAGAAACAAGACCGGCAAGCTCGCGTACCTTTCAGATTTAGGCGAACAACATGGTGGAAATTTGCAGAACCCCACTACGTCCCTTGTAAATAATGTCGGGGTTTTGGGACATACAACCCCAACGATCATCATGATCAGTGCGAGTACCTGTTTGCAAACAGGTTTCTTTTGTGGATGACTCAAGCAGATGACAGAAAAAGAAGCCCAGCAGAGTATGCTGCCACCAGCTGGTTCAGATGGGGTAAGTTGCAGCGCCACCGGGTTTATAGCGGCAGGAGCATGTACTAGAATGGGCATGCTAGCGCCCCACTCGCTAGGCAGGTCAAAAGTGCTGTAGGTCGTGATTTGTATGTCAATACATGCACACAGGAAAAACGCAGTCCTTGAACAAATCGAATTATCGCTGAAATATGTTAATTCACACATTCAAGAGATACCTTTTCATTTTTTCGAGGCAGTAGTGAAACTACGCTGACACAACATTGTCCGTTTTCCTGGATGCAAAATGCCTAAAAAATTTTTTAACATTGTCTCCAGAGATGTCTCCATTCGGTAGAAGGCACTTTTTCTAAGGCATGATTAACATTCCTTGTTTGTTATGCCAACGTATGTAAAATTTCAACAGTCAACTGCTCGATATCATTAAAAAATGCAATTAGCATACCTGTCAAGTCTTCCGGATTGGCCGAGAGACTCCCAGATTTTGACCTTTTTTTCCTGTTGTCATGAAAATCTCCCAGAAATCTAAATTTCTGTGCGTGATCTGGCCGCATTGACAAAAAAGCAGCTCAATCCACTCCAGGCTTTTCGAACATACCCCATTTTATTATAAATGAGTACAAGAGTTGTTCATGTAAACGTACAGTATAATCTCAGTGATGCGAAACCGTGGCAAATACGAATTCTTGAAATTCGCCAGCCAAATTTTACTATGTTCAATGGGCCTCAATTCGGGTGTTCCGAACACATTTCTTAATCGCGGCGGGTGATACGAAATTTAGTATTGAAACCGTCGAACGAAGGCCGAGAGCGGCGCACGCACTGTCTTCTTCAGTTTGCGTGATTGTCATTGCCACAACCACTGCGAATAAAACCGTGGTCGCTCTTGACACGATCATGTATGGCGACAGCGTAACTGACAAATCCCTGAAAGTGTGCGCTCAACCACTCAAAGCAGCGCTGCTTTCCACAAACTCTGCAGACAAAACTGTGGCAGATGCTATTGTAGATGGCATAAAATGACTTAGTTTTGAAGGTGCATGGGCAACCAAGTGCTTGGGGATTGTAAAATAAACTACCGTTTGCCGCAACCGCCGCAAACAAAACCGCAGTCGCGGCGACGCGATAGCGATCTACTAGCTCTGAGGGCACGCAGCGGTAGGTTAAAGGCAGTAAATACGCAAGAAACAAAAAAAAAGCTACAGTTTCGCTGCAAAGGCGAAGCAATAAATGCTACAGCAATAACTTGGTTTGTAACGCTGAGAACGGCAAGCAGATAAACGTGCAGTGCGCTGCTCACATACAAATGGCGCACGAAAACGATACTCTCAGGACGAGAGTATGGCAACTAACAACATTCACCACTCGACACGTTAACGTGCTATTTAAACAAAAACGAAGCACAATTCGTAATCACAGGCACAGATGAGTACAAGTTAACAAGTGTCCCAGTTGTTATACCTCGCTGTGTATGAAAAGCACGCTGTTTTCACAAAAGGGGCCTGTGCAGAGACCCAAGTGGTCTTTGTGGGGCCAGCAACTAATGCTTTTGTTTCAGTGAAAGCCGGAAGCACACGATTCCCCCACCAAAGGATAAGCGCGCATGCACAGGCGTTCATTTATGGGACAAAGTACACGTGAGAGATAAGCACGCGTCGGCGCATCGGGACAAGCTCGACGCCGAGCGCGGGCGACTTTTTTCTTTGAGTGTTCATATATATAGATACGTATACATATAGTGTAAGAGACGGTGGCGACGGTAAAAAAAAAAAAAAAGCAGCCTGGACTGTCCATATAATTGCTGTCACAATAAAAATAAGCCAGACGCGTTTTGGCATTCCTGTCAAAAGAATAAGACTGTAGTAGTGAGCAAAGCTTTGACCCATGCTTTTGCGGCAGCCAGCTGCGCCGTCCCGTCCGTTCATGTGTGTCCCAGGAAGACACACATGAGTTGTTTTGACTGAAATAGATTCTGCTAGTTGTAGTGATCCTTTGAGACTCTCACCTTAGTGAAAAACTCTACCCTCGTGTGTTCGGCCACTCCTAGCCACTATAAGACCGCAATGCCAATGTTGCGCTTGCAATTGAAACCCCCCTTCCACCGCCTTTTGTTTTTTGCGATGTTTTTGTTTGTTTGTATGTACTTGTTTGTTTGTTTTTTTTTGTGCCCCCCTCCCCCCGCGTCGTTGCAGAAATCTCCTGGATTCAGAATCAAGGCTTGAACTTGGCAGGTATGAATTAGTGACTTATAGATGCAATTACTAGAGAACAAGAAATGTGATATTGGGAAATGCAATTACGACTAATATAACTGCATTCCCTGGAAATTCTGCAAGCGACTCAGCAAAAAGAGAAACCCAAATCCGCTTATAAGCAGAACTGGCAACTCAATGATTTTTTATTAGTATGCATGTTGTTTGAATGGCATTTTATTTTTCACAATAGAGCAAATGTATGTGACATGAAGTTGTGTATGAATGATTTGCAGTGGTAGAACAAGTTGGGCTGAGTGCCTCTCTGTACAGCCGCTCCATCCAGGATGACCACATCTGCCTTTTAATCAAGCACATGGTGAGTCAACGTCGTCGTGAAGCTATGGACCTACAGCAACCACCTACGTTATGTTACATCTGCATTACACACACATATACAAGGTGTACCAGATATCATGCAGCATGGAAAACAAAGTAATTGTCATACGCAAAGCACATCTAGTGCACACTGTTCCCAGTGTGCTGTAGTAGCCACTGCGATTTCAAATGCAAAGCATTTCTTTGTGTACTGCAGGCACTTTGAGCGTCTATCCACATATCTATCGGTCTAGCCACTTGTGTCTGGGTGCTCTCGTAATCACCCGCTTAATTTGGTGTTAACCAAAATTAGTATGAGAGGGTTTAAACCCTATTAGCTACATTCAAACCTATTAGTACATTCAAACCTATTTTGTACATTCAAACTTTATTAGCTAGACATGTGGCACATACCCGCTGGCAGGTATGTGCCACACGTATGTGGATATATGCCACAGGTGATTGACAGTTTATGCTAAGAAAAAGCTGACATCGGCAGCATTGACCCAATGAATGCAAAGAATAAATGTAAAAATCCCAGCAGGAATCGCACCCGAGCATTCTTTGTGGCAATCAAGTATTCTGCCACAGAGCCAGGCCAGGTATTGGAACTACTTTTCAAATAGAGCCTAATGCTCGTGATACATCAATTGTAGTTGCAGTGCTGGCTATACAATTTTATAAACATTACACATGTACTCCTATGATACAACCGTCACGTCGGGTTAAAGTCAGTTATAGTTAGGCGCCATCTACTGAAGTTGATTTATGTAGCAGTGTCCAAGGCTGTCATCCTCACGAGCACCAGCATTTCATATCAGCTTACTGCTTCTGGTGTACTAATACAGTTAACCTGCATATAACGATATTAATAAATTCCTGCAAAAATGTCTTATATAAAGGATTTTGTTATGTGCAGGTTTGATACGAGAATTCAAAAAGTAAACTTGCAAATCAAACAAAAGAGGAAATGAAAGCAGATCTAACCCAAGCACTTACTTACAGTAAAAAACTGCGTTATTATTGCCAATTATATGGACACTCAGCGGGTTTTCGTCGTTGCCGCCATGTTCCGTAAACAAGTCCAAATTGATAACATGCCCCCGTGCATCATAACTTTCACGAGCGGGTAAAATTGTGCAAGCGCTGCTGAAGCAGAGATCAAATGAGTCAGCCAATTCGTATAGCCTTGAAAGTGCTTAAGGAGGGACGTGGGTTCTAAAATTGTTTTTTAATTTTTTTCTCAATCTTAACCAAACTTCACTACCTAAGCTAGTTTTCTATGCTGATTTCAAACCTCTAATTTGTTTCTTAATATTTCAAGTGGTTTAGAAAATATGAAGGTCTGAATCCTAATTAATTGCATACTTCTTACGGGATTTCTTGGCAATTTATTCTTGCTAAATTCAAAAAGTGAATGCATAATCCCAATGCTGGAGACTTGCTGTAGGGGGTGATGTTATTTTTATCCATTTGAAGGCATTTTATAAGCAAAAAAAAAACAGACGAACACTTATCGTCACTATATTACAATAAATTTCTTTCACTAAAATCTTCAATGGTAATTTTTGAAGTGATGCTAGAGAAATAGAAATAGCATCACCCCTAGATCATGTCGAGACGAATAAAATGATACCAGCTTTGTCACATTCACTCAAGTTTAACATAGGAAAAACCCCCGTAAGGCCGAGTGCAATGTGCAAAAACATCGAACTGAGAAAAACGCGTTTGAAGTTTCTAGCAACTTTAACTTTTTCTAACTTTTGCTAAAGTGAAGCTACAGCGATATTAATGACATCATTCTGTAGCTCTATATTATAGGATAAATGGCCATGCTAAATTTCACTGTACCCACCCAGAATACTGCTCACAGCTTGTTCTAGAACTATTAAAATAGTCATTGACTCAGCATGAGAATTATTTTTTTACTTTGTGGTCGTTCTAGTGCCTAGCAAGTGAAAGGAACACAAAAAAAATCATGTAATAATGTTGTCCTTGGATAGACAATAGATTTACACAATGTTTAGGTCTAAAACCAAGAATATTTTTGCCAAAATTCTCACTATTTGCCATCATGACTGTTTACAGTAGACCAGGGCTGTAAGCAGAGTCCCCTGCTGGCTTGTGACTCTTTGAAAGTCTTTCCTTTATTGAACTGCTGTCGAGATGCTCTCTTCGCAATTTTTGCAGCCTGTTCTTTTCCTTCTCAAGGCTGCGACGCACGAAGTTATTGCCAGCGCTGTAGCCCCGCTTCTCGGCAATTTCCACGTTGCTCATGGTTGTGCCTTGGTTGAAGCGGCTAATGGCTTCGGCAACTGCCCTTTCAATGCTCCGTAAGGATGCATGCTGAGTTTTGGGGGCCTGCTGCCAAATCATAGCGTGCAGGCTCTCACTTGGGTTCTGGGTGATCCCATCGCTGCACCTTTCCAAGAGGGCATTGTCGCTCAGCTGCCTAAACACAGGCTCCAATGCCACAGTTACGAAATCAGGCAGGCTGTCCTTGTGTGGTGGCGGCTTCTCATTTTTCCCAAGAGCTCTCTGAAATTTGCACCGGAATTCAGGGCCTTCAGGGCAAAGGTCATGCTTTGGTGCTTCGTCAGTTGAAGACATGTGGTTCAAAGTTGCTAGAACAGCCTTCTGCATACCTGGAACATCATTCCTGTGGCTTCTCAATGCGTAGCTAGTATGAGGTGATCTTCTTTATCTTTTGTTGCGTACGTCTGCCTTTTCCACCAAGTGAGCCACCTTGAGCTTTTTTTTTTCTCTACAAGGGTACGTAAGGCAACTCCCATACGCTTGTGTACATGATTTATGCAGTCCTTTTTGGCCACCTTTATGAAGCCGTACACCTCTTTTTCTGTGAGTGCATGGAATGTCCTGCTGTCACCGTCCGACAGCATTGTCGTATAATGAAGCTTGTGCTTTTCAAGTGACCTCTCAAACAAGTGTAGCGCTGCCTCCACTTCCATCTGGCCAGCATTACAATCAACATTCTTCTGGCACAGAGGGGCATGCTGAATGAGCCAGGCAGAATGTCCTGCTTCTCCTTCCTTGGGTCCTGTGGTGCAAGCCAGGCAAAAGTTCGATAGCACGATATGGTCTATCACGAGGCCACTATACATCTCAACAATGCAGCCAACACATATATGCGAGCTATGTCCACGCGTATGCCAGGTGCCGTCATAAAGGACGTCGACGTTTCCGGGCGCGTTGCCGAACTCCGCATAGAGCTCCTTAATGCGAGCAATGCTCGCTGCTTCGCATTCGGCAACAGTCGCACAGCAGGTTTCTTTCATTATATTCATGTGGCCTTGGTAACTCTTGTGGAGAAGCCCTTGATGCGAAATATTCATCCCGGCAAAGAAGTCTGACAGAGCCGTTGCCCCCTTGCCAATACTGTTGATGGCCTTCATGGCACGCATATTAACTTCAAACGGCCTTATTTTGGCGTCGGTCTCGTCAGCTATACGTGGGGACGAAAAACGCCCTTCGCGAAAGTCACAACTGCCGCACGTGACTATGAGCTTCGAACACAGCCCGTACTCTTTCTTGGCCTTTGAAATAGTGACGCTTCTTTCACCGCATTCTGGGCACGCGACAAGTCCAAATAACGAGCGCATCGCCACCAGATCAACAATAACAAATTCTGTCCCGTTTTCTTTGCCACCATCCTCCAGATCAATATCTAGTTACTCGAACTTGCGTTCCGTCACGCACTGCGATGCGAGTGATGCCTTCAAGCCCGCTGCATTTCTCGCGCACTCAGCAAACTCGTCCGCCGAATAAAACGCCGTGTCAATGCGGTCTAGGATGCTGCTGGAAGTGCAAGATGACGATCCGACGACAACACAATCCGATAAGGGGCTGCTGCAAGGCACAGGAGAGTGCACTGCTTCGGGCACAAGCGGCCGCGGCTGCGCGCCGTTGTCGGAATGCGCCGCTTCGGTGGCATCGGGCGAAATCGGCTGCACGTTGTCGGCTGCTTTCTTCTGACGGGTGTTCCACGGGCGCCTCCGTTTCTTGCCGTACGCTTGGCGCGTCTTCTTCTTTAGACGAGCGTCTCCAATCATGCCGGCAAAAGACGGAAAGTCGGTGCGTCGGTCGCATAGCATTAAGCAGGCATGTGCGGGAAGCAGACGAACTATGTGCGCGAACGGTAACCGGCGGCCGACGAACAATATACAAAAAAAAAGCACGGGCAACTTTGGCCGCATCAGCCAATGGGAAGCGAGGAACAACGGGGCTCGCCTGGTGCGCGCGCGCTCCGACGGGCGGGCTTGAAGTCTTTTAAGTTCGCTAAGAAATCATTTAATAACAATTAAGCATTCCCAAACCACACCCGATTGCGCAACATTCACGGGATGCCCCCATTACTCTGCGTCGTATTTAGTCGAGTTCCCCTCGTGGGAAAATGCGAGTGGCTTTTGGCCTTGTTCTAACCCATGCAGAACGCGGTTTAAGCTACCTTCACCACTGTACACCAGTGCCTTGTGGATAAGCCCGTTATGATTTAAAAGGAGCGGTTAGTGTTAGTCGATCGACACTGCACATTTTGTTCAATTGTTCATGCATGTATGCGCTGCATAATTAAGAGTGCTGGTATGATTGCTGACGTCTAAAAAAAGTTACTGGCAATCATTTTGAGCATAGAGTGACATTTCTGCTGTCCTGAAAAATCGTGCTCTAGTCAATTTTCCGCCACCCCTACTCCTTGGTTTTACGATTCTCCCGAATTTTACGGTCGCCAGCTTGGCAAAGCAACATCTGACTTCGCCGTCTGTTAAAGGACTTGAGGGGTGCGGCAAATGCTAATGTGGACTTCAGCATTGTTCGCTTAATGGGGCGGTTTAAAACACTACTTACATTGAAGAAGGGGCGATCATGTTCACTCTGCATGATTTAGGGGAGGTGGAATTGCTTGTCCATAACATTTTTTTTTCTAAATTTAAGCCTTCTGTTTTATACTGCTCCAAATTTGGTCTCATGATAAAAAATAGATATCCTTTTTTCGTAACCAACTCCGAATTTGGATTTTAGTGCTCTATAAGAAACATTTTGCTGCTCCAAATTTGCCCCAAACATGATTTTGGCTATTGCACCCGACATATAGAACCCATTGAGCGAACGGGCTGGGTGGCCACGATTGTAGCTCAGTCAGTAGAGCATCAGACATGTTATCCAAAGGTCGCAGGTTTGTTTCTGACAGCGATAAGTTCTCTTTCTGTCCACTTTTGTTTTTTTGCATTTACATCACAATTACTACCACATTGTAGGAAGGAGAAATGTCTCAACCTGGCGAGCGAGCATGGCGGAACTTTGTTCATGCATGTGCTAGCAAGTGGTGCTACACAGACGGGGGCCACCAAGCGCACTTGTACAGTTCATGCCGATAACCACGTCATAGTTTCACAAAACTCTAACAAAGTCTTTTTCTCGTGCAATGTGGTGTCACGGACCGAGATTGAGTGAAGGGGTGGCCAGCAGTTTAACAGACATTATACCAACCTCCATGCGTTAAGCACCGTCTGGTAGAAAGAAGACGAACGTGCACAGTTTTTCGACAAGTGGCTCCACTGCACCTCCGAGCCGATGTGCCGCCTCTTTTTTATGCACCATGGTTACTACTAATAACTATACTTTCCTTGGCATCATTGTCTGTTTGTTCTTATGTATAAACCTACAAGATTTTGCATCTGCTGGAAGAGAAGCGCATGGCCAGTCAGACGTATTTTAAAACTTATCTGCTGTTTTCTTGCTGCGTTTCAGAATCCGAGTCGAGTTTTCGTGGATGGGAAGAGCACCAACGAGCAGCTTCTGTCCAGCCTGCTGGAAGAATTGCGTTCTCTACTGTGTACAGCCGGCACCAGCATATAGAAGATATAATCCAAGGAAGATTACTAGAAATGATGCTTCTTTCAATGGAGGTGCAAACTATGTATATTTATGCCAAGAGACCATTTTTTCTTCGCTGCAGCCTCTTATTTTGCGTATAAAGCAGTTGGGAGGCCATATTGTAAGCGTGCTGTTACCGCATGGAGGAGGAGGCAAAGGAGATAGAATTGCTTTCAACAGAATTGTTATAGCAGAAATATAAGCTTGAGGTTGTCTCCCGTAGTGGGGCAGTGGTGCCGACTTGAAGGTCACGAGTTCAATCAATCCTGGCTGCGGCAGTCACCTGTGGATGGAGGTGAATAACCTGTAAAATTTCAGTGCACGTTAAAAATGGTCCAAATATGGGAGCCCTTTATTATGACGTCTCTCATGATATTGTGGTTTTTTATTAAAGCTCGAGGTTGAAGCACGGGATGCCTTTTGATCGCTATTTGATAACTCCTTCTATGTTGATTTTCTCAAACTGTCGGCGTGGGACAGGGATAACCCAGCATGAAACAGGCAAATCCGATTGACCACGCTCAAGCACTTAAGTTTTGATCCAGTCCCCGTCGTTTAGCGGCTGTTTTATATCTGTTCTATTGACAAAGCGAGGCCTCCACCCATTATGTGCCTGTTCCACGGCTATTCTCACGTCTTTACTGTAAGACTAGCCTCAACTAATATTGTGCGGCTTCATCTTGTTTTTCTGTTCAATCCCTCGTCTATCTTGCGACCGAGGGCTCACAAAATAGACCCTCAGGAGTACATGGGCCTACATCATACTACATATATATGTATATAAATAGAGATCTGGGCCTTACAAAGGTGTTTCCTTATATAATTGAGTGAACAGAATGAAATTTAATACACTTATTTAAGTTTTTTTTGGCAGACTCTAAATCTCTGAGCAAATTTTAGTAGCTGCATTAGAACAAGAGATATGCCGTTTCTGCGATGTCTTTTAGCACATTTCTTACAGGGATTTTTGGCAACTTTACTTTGTCAACCACAGAAATTAAGTATGTGCCGATTTCCACAAGTCCAACATAGCCGGCACTTGTACACCAAATATTTTGCACCAAATTATAATTATTCATATTGATAAATAGTGTGTAGCATAAAATTTTGTCATATTTGCATCCATTTATATTGTATCAGAGGCTCGTTGAAACCAATCTGTTTAGCATGATTTGCTAGGCTAACTCTTTGGCAGTCTTGCCATAGACCTTGTTTTCGTGTTTGACAAAACTAAGGTGACAAAAAGAAGCTTGAGAAATTTTTAGAAATTGCATATTTTTTTGTTCTAATGCAGCTAAAAAAAATCTGCTCAGCATTTTGTAACCTGCAGAAAAAAGTGAATACATAGACTAAATTGAATCCATTTAGCCCAAAAAAAAAATAAAGAAAACATTTTCTAAACTTTTGTCTCTTGATATGAGAGGTTGAGGGAGCCAGTGTCTGTTTATTACAGGTTTGTCAAACCAAGAAAAGCATATAACTTGTATTAGTGTTAGCACAGCACATGTTTGGTGCGAAGATGCTGACTAGTGGCTAAAAATAATTTCTTGGCGGTTGGCTCCTTCATATAAGGTGCAAGTCCCTGACTTAGGGTGAGTGCCTGCCCGCCTCTTGGTGCTGAGGTTTAATGCTCTGCGTCCAATAAAAAGTATGCGACAACAGCATTAGGGGTAGTTTACTTCTTTAGCCACTTATTTCAAGGTGCAAATTGCTGGCCGAGCAAAGTTACAATGAAGGGAACATAAAAAAGTAAGATAGAATCCTGTTAATATCGTCCATGTACACATAAATCTGCATGTAGCTGCAGCCATTCTGAGGCAGAAGTTTGGAGGTGCATGTTTTACATTTTGTGTGCACATACGCACACTCACAAGTACGTACATCTAAATACACAACTGAAAGACGTCGGAAAAAAAAGGTCATTTTTCGTTTCCTTGGTATGCAGTGTCAACTCGCTCTGCATGGCGAAGGTGGGAAAGCTATTTTAATTCGTTTTACTCTGAATATTGCAAGAAGCTTGTCCACTTTAAATAAATTTATGTAGACACACTGACCTTTTAATTAATTTATTTGTTATTACATAATATCAGACTCAAAAACCTAGTGGTGGGGAGAAAATTTTAATGCAATAACGTTAAAAAATCGTTCCGCAGAAATTTTGACGTCTGCATCATTGGTTGTGAGCAAGAAGTCTTGTCCATGACCAAAAAAACTGAAAAAGATGCAAATAAAATTATCGAAATTTCCAAGTTTGAGTGATAACTGAACTAGAGCCGTTTGAATGGGGAACAAATTTTCTACCACACAGCAACACATCTAAATTGAACTACAGTGAAAAAAGCTTAGCTCAGAAATGCAATTAAAATAAAAGTTCATGCTTTACAAACATGCACCTCCTGTATCGCAGTAATACTGTGTGGTACAAGTGTACATTGTAGTTTGGTGTGCGAACATGCGATGGATTTCGTGATTCAAAGCCGGTCACCCATTACAAAAGGCACACGAAAAAGATTTCACGTGCATAATTGTTCGTAGTTTAAAGCATGCTACTTTTATTACACAGAATGCAGCCATCTGCGAAAGCTTTACTGACACAAGCCACATTCAACTTTATCTATTGCATTGTATTAATCCACAATTTAAACTTCTCAAGTAAAATAAGTATGCACTAAATGGCCAAAGCATATCACTATTGTGTTCAAATCTTGCAGGTGAAGCTTAAGGGTCCCTATTACTTGAAATGGCTAAAAGTTCATAGAACCAATTCCTGGCCAATACCCCAGAGTGGAGCTGTGTGGAAATGTGCTGATTATTGCAGATGAATTACACAAAGGCCATTGTATTGTTAGTACTGTGTATAGCCAAAGAACGCTTAGTTTTATCGCTCAGAGGGAAAAATAAGATTTTCAAGATCGACCCTATCGGGAAAACATACTTCTATCATATCAAGGATCCGACCCTTGTGTGTTCTGAAGTCTACGACCATTCATGCGCACATCCGTGCTAAAAAAGAAGTCAGTAGCGCATCTCAATTAAACCCACCCCGATTGATATTTTTCGCTCTCTGCGGTGATTGCTGGAACTTGTTACTGGCGCATGGCCTCCGAGATGGTGCGCGCGCGATGGGTTTCTCTCAGGCCGTCCCATGGGCAGTCCCAATCGCATGGTGAGAGCGTTTTTTCAAAGGTAAGCGTGGCCCGCTTTTTTTTCCGTATCGCGGCGCTCCTTCGTATGGTAAAATACGAACTTCAACAAGAAATTCCTTATGCACATTTATAGACAAGAATAGATCAAGTGGCGCAGTGGCTCCACTTTCACAACAAGAGTGGGAAAGTGCTGTGAAGAGGGTTCCTAGTAGTGCATCAACAGGCTCTAACGGCATCCCAATTATGCTAATAAAGCAATTGGGTCCCAAGTCTAAGCAGACTTTGAGAGAAGCAGCGAGGAAAACGATAATCAATGGTGATGTCCCCGATAGATGGAAACTTAGCAGGATGAGCAAGATCTATAAAAAAAGGGGGGACAAAGCTGACATAAGCAACTACCGTCCTATAACAGTGACATCAGTACTCTTTCACAGAACACCATTACATTACATTCCAGCACCGTTGCAGACAGTGACTGCAGCGCCATGGTGAGTCATGGCACGAACTAATACGAGTGGCCTCACCTTTAGGTGTTTTGGATACCACGCGCTGCCTAAGCACCTAAATCGCGCGAACATCCCTAGGCGCTTTAGTCCCTAGCGGTGCGCCGACGTCGATAGTCAGCGCTTCCTCTAGTTTGATCGAGGTTGATATTGGTGTTGTGCGGCAGTGTGTATGGATTGCGGTATTCCTTGCGAATATGGTGATGTGGCAGTGATTCTCGGCCGACTGATCCTTCAGAGGGCGGAGATCGAGCGCCGTGGGTGTATCGTGCAAGCAGTAGCGTTGAATGACCAACATCCCGCGTCGATGTGATATGCTCAAGTGCTGGCTGTCTTGTGTGTGCTGTGTGGTGGTTTGTTTGACAAATTTAGTTCCCTGCACATTTGATGATACCTTAGTGTTGGCTGGTTCATGCGAGCCGTTGCGTTGAATTACGCCCGCGTAAGAGTGATCATGTTTGTGCAGACATACTTCCGAATGAGATTTAGGGTCTGATGCACTGTACTGACAACACCACTGTCACACGGGTTCTTATTTGCTATGTTGTACCCTGTTATATCGCAGTTGGATGATGGCTGCACCGTATTTGATCTAATTAGTTTGGGCAGTTAGCAGTGACTAATACTGGTGTCACTCGAATACTTTTCATCAAGATCGGCAGGTCTGTTGCTGCTGCGCCGGATTCAGTTTGGCGCCGACGCCCTAGCTGATTGCAATCAAAAGTGCCCGTGTGACACCGGCATGATCGCACGTGCGAATGCTCAAACCCTTTCTGTGCGCTCTTGTGGTGGTCTCTAGCTTCTTGGCTGCTGGTTGCGTCAGTAGACGAGCATGCAAGAAAAACAGTTTACTACATATACAAAGCTATTCTATCAAAATTATGCAGAAAAGGTGCATCATACTGGGTAGCTAGGTCTGTAATAATGGGACGTCCGCAAATAAGCACATGTAAACAGAAGGACTGAAAGCTGGGCCAGTTGGTGACAGTACTTTAACATACTTTACACAGCGCACGACTACGCGGGCACAAGAGCGATTTGTCCCTTCTCTAGTGTCCGTGTAGTCCTGCCCTGTGTCACAATACATAGTGTGCACGTGCGTCACACAGCGCCGATTCGTCACTTCCGAAATGTGCCACCGACATGCCTGTGTACCTACCGACTCCGTGGCCGACCGCTGCCGTGTTGTTTCCTTGAGCATGCGCCCGTTCAGTTTTGCCTAACGATGCAAGTTGGAGCAATTATCAGCTGCTGGTGAGGCAAGTTGATATAACAGTCCACAAATTGCGAGTAGAACGCCAGGGTGTTCTCTTTGCCAAAAGTTATTACCTAAAATTGAGAACGCACATAGCGATTTTCCAAAAAGCACCGGCATGTTTGGCTGGCACAGTTTAACAAAACAGCTTGAAGAACCATTGATATTTGCGTCTTCAGGTGTAACTTCATTACGGGGAAGTGCTATATCCAAGTACGTTCCAGCAAACAGAGATAGGTACTGTGTATACAAACTTGTCGGCGACCGCTGCGTGCACAATCAGCGTGTCAGGGAGGCGGTTGAAATTGTGAAGGCAATCGCGGAAATTCAGGTATTGCATCAAAACAAACTGTGAAAATTGATGTGAAACGCTATTCGTTCACTCGCGATTTGAATTATAGCCGATCGATTCAAGTTGGGGGGTCAGGTTTTTTAAAAATTGGTCGATTAATTCCCTAAAACAGTCTTCATCATTTTTAGGGAAAATACTGTATATTAGCGCCCAACAACATAAGTAATACACAAGGTAAAAAATTCGTCATAACATACGCGAAAAAATGTGACCGGCACGCACCATGCGAAGTCTCTACCTTGCATAATGTATTCCGTCGTCGTTTCCACAAATTCAATCAAAGATGCTCAACATCAGCAATGTTTAAAACACTCGGGGAGCCGTACTGCCACTTTGGTGGTGTGGGCCGCAGCAATATATTAAAATTGTTATCAATAATATATCTCCTGTAAACTTGCCTACCTCTGCACGATGACTCATTTTCGATGGGAGCTGTGCGCTTCGCTCATCCACTTTTAAAATTGCGGCTCGAGAGATTTTGAGCTTTCACTTGTTCTTGGACCACGCAATTGGTAGTGAAAGCGAGATTGGTAATGAAAGCGAGATAATGGGCCCTCTTAGATTGTGGCGGGCAGCCTGTGTACGCAGAGACTGGTATACGTGTCACACGTTTTGATTTTCCAGTCTTGTATCGAGTGAACAAGCGAGGCCGTCCTAACCCGATGAGCTCGTCGAAGCATGACAACGAAAAACCGCACAGATTCTCTTCAAACATCGTGCACAGCAACAGATGACAAGCCCTTTACAAACCACGCTGCAGCACGCTAACTGCTGTAGGTACCCAGCGAGGTACCCGGGCATGGCGGGAGATGGCGATATCGGCGGAAGTGACATCACATAAACACTTTGTATATGTTCAAGCACATGTATGTGTTCGGTCTTGCTAAATCAAGTATCACATAGAAAATTGAAGGACATTTCATTCTTTAGGAAGTACAATGTCATTTTGGGTCTTATTAGTAGTTTTCCTGCGTGTTATTTTTTAATCATAAGGATGTGATGTTTACTTCACTATCAGATTAGCGCAATTGTTCCCGCATAGTAGTCGGTGCACCATACAAGCATACAAGCTTTTGGTCTTCGTTGGTGCGTGTACGCAATGTTAAATAGCATGAAGTTACATTACTTGGCTCCTCTATAT